CGTTCTACCTTAATTTGTTTGTATGGCCTTCATTTTCCGATTGGCGTATTGAATTCAGTTAGGTCTCATACGGAAGCCCACGGTGCACACTGCGACAATGACTTAATGACATGAAAGGGCCAAATATTGCACAGCTCAGTGGTTCGTATTGCTCGCGATTATCTCTTTGTGAAACCGAAAAGATCCAAATTATGAAATATCATGTGGCATCTATTGAGCGGAATCACAAAAAGTCCCATTCAAAGCGCTTTAAATGGCTTTGCATGAGGCTGTGCACAGAACCATATGGAGGCCTCGGCATCTCCTCATTTCATACATGTTTCTTTTGACATCAATAACGCCGAGGCATCCAGTGGCGCTTGGAACGCATCCAAAACAATTATAAAGTTGCCGTGGAAACTGGCGTCCTGTGCCAGGGCGAGGCATACTGTCTGCGCTCAGATAACCGCATGGAAAGTCACGGCAAACAAAGCACTTGACAGGGGAGCACCAGAGGAGGGAGTGAGGGATGGGCACACTTGATGGAATAACAAAAGCTTGTGATGTGCTGGATTTGGATGTCCATAAATGATAAAATGTACAGTGCAGCCATTTGCAGTTTGGGGTCTGGATAAAGGACACAGACTAGAGCAAACTGGAGTAATATAAAGACAAAGAGACGGATCATCTGAAAACATTTTTTTTTTTATATCGCAAGAAAAAGGGTTTTATGTCAGATGTCTCTTTTAATTTATGGACAATATAGCCTTCAAAAACAAAAATAAAAACAAACAAACATACTTTGAACCTTGTGATACTTTCTGACTGGATGACTTAATTATGTTATTTGGATAAACTAACAAAATCTGTTCTATAGCGAAAAAAGCAAAACTAAACAAAACTTACATTGCCCCAAGATTGTACGTCCAAATAAACAGTGGTGGAGTTAGCAATTTGGGGGCCCTAGGCGAACTTGAGTTTGGGGCCCTTACTATAACACACCGTTTTGTTTTGTTTTGAATATATTTATTGTCTGTTTTTCCCCATTGTTCCTGAGACATGCACATCTCTATTTCTGTGAATTATGGTGGATTGGAAACTTGTCTTATTCATTAGGGATCCTACTACATAACCAGAAATTAAAGAAGTTTAAATTTTTTGCACGTACAGTTACATTTTTGTTTACATCCATTACATATGATTATGATTATTTTTCTTATGATTATTGTCTAAAAGTAAACTACTCTCATTTAATGTCATATTGAGACAAAATCGAATTGCTCTGAGGTCTCAGGCATTAGTGGGGAGATTGGCTGGGGGCCCCTCCAGGTTTGGGGGCCCTAGGCACCTGTCTACCTTTGCCTTATAGTAGCACCACCTCTGCAAATGAATGATACTCTCATCCCCTTTAAGTATTTTTGATGCCACTTTAATAAAGCCACACTGTTCAAGTCTGATACTTTTTACCCAGGTTAGTAGGCACTGAATGATCACTCTGGAGGAGGAGTGATTGTTCAGTACTGGAAGCACCACTTCTGGCATCCATCCAATATTCAGAGAACCATAGTAACTTACATTTTGGTAATATTACATGGCATGTGGCTACAAAATGCTCCTTGTGTTAGTTTGGTTATACTTTAAGACATAAAAAGTAAAAAGAGTAGGGATGTCACAATAACCGAAATATAGTGATATCGTATCGTCAAAGTTCTCACAGTAATATCGTGGATCATCACAATATATTGAATTACAAGTGTCTTTGCTTAAATTAAGAGTTATGCTGCAGCAATAGTTAAAAAAAAGACAGAGGGAACTACATAAACCATGATCCTTTGCTCCATTTCTGTGTACACTACAAGAAGAAATAACAGTTGTAAGCACTTGTAAGTCTTAGTTCTTTGGATTAAGTCTTGTCAAGTCATTTTAAGAGGAAAAAGTAGCATATTAACAGTTTTGTTGTTTGTTGCCTCCACAAATATCACAATAAATATTCTACAGTGAGATGTATATCATACTGAGAGATTTGGATATTGTTACATCCCTAATCATGAGCCTCCCCACCATATCGTGAGTTTTCCCACGATATCGCAATAAATACCGTACTGTGAGGTTCATACCGTGACGATATCGTATCGTGAGACTTGGATATTGTTACGCCCCTAATAAACAGCTGGGTTTTTTTTTGTGATAAAAAGTTAAAACTAGGCTAAATTGTTTAATCTAAGATCTGCAAACTCTTTTTTCATTTTAATTTGCGCCCCAACTTTTTTCCAAATTGTGTACACTGAAAGATATCGGAGAAGTTATTGTTTAAACTTTACAAAGGTGGACAAAGGTTTGAGAAAACATGTTGGCTACAGTTCATTAAGGTTAAGGTTAGCCTCATGTGTGAGTCGCTAACACACAGCTCGCCCATGACACCTGCAATTTTGTGTGTGGAACATTGGGAGCGCTGTAATGTATTGTAACCTTATGCTAACCTAATGAACACGGGGATGAAAGTGGTGTAATGGAGGTACTTTTACATTCATCTTTACGCTCCTCATTATGCGCCCGATATGACAAGCTCGTTAGGAGTGCACGAAAGATTACCCGGGCTGGTAAAGAGCACCACCTTCAAACCAAAAAAATACAAACGGATAAATATTTCGGCAGGTACAGGCTACACCTCTGCCCCGAACCTGGTGGAAGTCATGGTTTTCCACAGACACTTTAAGGACCTCTGTGCTGTGTGTGCTCAGATGGGAGAGAGATGCCATCACACTATATTTGCGTGATACTGATGAAGACAGTTGTTTTCCCCAACAGCTGGAATAGCAATACGCATCCAGAGCCAGAATGCTGTTAACTTAAATATAGATCTTACTTAATCAAATGTTCTTTCAAAATTAAGTCTTTCTGTAATGTGTCCGTATGTTGTAGCATCAGCTGCCCTTATTGTGCAGCGATTTGGATTCTCATTTGTGTATTTATCCAGGCATGGGGCTAGCACACATGAGACAATACACTGTTGTTTTAAATAATCAACCTTTTATTTTATTTTTTCAGCGCGGGTTTAAAGGTATAAACGTGATTGTACAGGCTTTCTTTCTAAAGGTAACCGTACGCAATTGCAGTAAGATGAATCAATTAAAACAGTTGTCGGGCTGTGAAGTGTCAGCAGATCTGTGGCGCAGTCATCATTTGTTCTCATTAGTGTTTCTTAGAAGAAGGTGAAAAAAATCAGCGGTGCTTGAGGAAATCAGGTAATTTGTAATCGCAAATAAGGATACTCGACCTAACAACGCGCCATCGTTTGTAACAGAATAGGAAGTGTCTATTTGTGACCATTTGCTCTTACAATGAAAAGGCATTTTGCACATTAGTCTTTGTAAGGAGCAGAAGCCGAGCATCATCAGCTCAACACTGCACTCCAGTGGACAGAAACGTGCAACTGCAACTATACAAGATGCCATGCTATTTGGCGAGGAATGCCTGACATGTTGTGGGATAAATGTAAAATGAGTAGGCCTATTGTTATAGTGGAATAGTGGAAATGCACTAAATAATAACGTTTGTATTTCAACACTGCAGCCGTTGAGAGCCATTTAATTGCTTTTGTTTTACTTGTTTTTATTTAATTTTTTTTGCAAATAATAAAGTACACTGTCAGTTTTGTTTCAGTAACAAACTGCTAAATGTTGGTTTTGGAAGTGGGAATTTCAATGACTCCTTACTGCTAGAAACACACAATATAGATTTGACATGAAAAATTTTACTGTACAAGTTAGAGTTGCACATTTTTTCGCAGTCCCACTGCTGTTACATTGCAACAATGATACTGTTGTTACATCTTTATTACATGATCTTTACCAGAGGAAAGGATAAGCTAAGTCTATCTGCAATTAATCTATGCAATAAAATTTTTTATCAATCAGTCATTCAAATATTTGGGGCAAATTTAAGAAAAAAAAAAAAAAAAAGATAAGCATTAAAAGTTTGTATTATACTCAGGAAAATACCCTAATATTGTAAGAAATGTTTGTTTTTAATAAGAGAAAACTAAATGAAAAATCTTTATCGACTAATGTGAGGAAAAACAGAAATTGTGTTTTTTTTTTTTTTTTTTTTTTTTTGGCTACATGCCTTTAAGATGATTCATAATAGTCTAATCTACTATACCGATCATTAGAGCAGAGGGTAAATAAGGATTCCTCACAACCCTTGTCATCAATAACTAAATCCATCATTTGAGCTCGTTCCAAACGAAAAATTGGTGCGTTTTACTCTTAAACGCTTTGATCTTTCAAAACGCTTTTCTTTGCAGCCATCTCCAGTCCCACTTTGCGATTGGCACAGAGATATGGGAAGTGCAGTGACGTTATCCAATCAGATTACATCTTTATCCCATAGGTTTGGTTCCGGACTGGCCTGTTATTCATAGAAGTAGCAGGTGAAATCGGTGAGTATTTGACTTCATTTGGATGAACGGTGTTCCAAGCGTGTGCGTAATCTGCTGCGCATGTGATCCGTGCTGATATTGTGTGGCTGATTTTACTGTGTCTCGCTCTACTTTCCACGAAAAGTGTCTGTATAAGATGTGGGGGTGCGCTCTATTAAATAGGCGGGCGTAATAGATATAGCCAGTAAACAACCTAATGGAGCGCGGAGCTACTCAGACGTGGCCTACATTTAGGAGACGGTCTACTTAGCCTGCAGTTCCCCGTCTAGAAATACGCACAGTAAACGGGATAAGAGGATTTCTCGCGGCGTGTTTTCCTCGACACTTCTCGATAAACCAGTACATGTACCCTGTGTAGCCCACCACCAAAGGGTCGGTAGTCTCTCCCCCAGAAGGAGAACAGCGTGTCATTACGCGTCTATACTGATGAATGAATGAATGAATAGAGCTGTATGTTCGTAATACATTACAGCATCCTCTTTTACAGTGATTTTTCTGTTTTGAATGACCAAAATGAGCACAAGATGGCGCTGTGACCCAATTTTGGCGTTTCATTCATCAACAGGTATTCCCTCTGTGAGGCATGAACATGTATGCAGTGCCCAGCCCGGGGATACCCGGCTGTCCGCCTGGGCTGGAGTACCTCACTACGGCAAGTATCTGCAGGATCACCAGGATTAACACATGCCATTAACTTTCTATTCATAGAACAAGAAGAATAACTCTTATAATGTGTCATAATAGAGAATCACCTGGATAACCGCCTGGCACTATACCTATGATCCTTATGTAGGCTGGGGGCAGGTCCACTGTCTGCCTGTCTCCACTGAGGTGTTGTGACTTTATCTTTAACATTACAGAGTGTGGAATCAAACTTATTTATCTCAATGGAGACAAGCAGGAGATCTCTAGGCCAAGTTACAGGTTAACTCTGTGGAGAGTTGAGCCGACTCACAGTAAGTATTTTATGAACAATAAAAGCACACATCATGGAATAGCCAGTATAGAGCACCATACTGTGGATCATTCCAGGCAAAGAAACAACATATCCACGGAGACGACAGGAGATGTTACATAATGTCCCTTAAATCAAATGATGCTGAATTATTAGAATAATGTTTTTCTTTACTCTCATGTCAATATTTTGCATTTGTTTTATAGGTGGACCAGCTTTTGATCAAACAGAAAGTAGAAGCCATTGAAGGTACACTTCAGTATATGAATATGAAAAGTTGGCTATAAATAATATATATTTGTATTTATGCACGCAGCCCTGGTTGGCTTTGAAAGCAATAACAAGTATGAAGTGCGTAACATGATGGGTCAGAATGTGTTCTATGCTGTGGAGGAGAACGACTGCCTCAGCCGACAGTGCTGTGGGCCTATGCGCTCCTTCACTATCCACGTCCTGGACAACTACGGCCAGGAGATCATCACCATCATGAGGCCTCTCCGCTGCATGTCCTGCTTCTTCCCCTGCTGTCTACAAGAGGTCAGTCTGCATTCACAGTCTTTTAGTGAAGGTAATCTATACTACGCTACTATAAAGAAACAAAACACTGAATGAGAAGGTGTGTCCAAACTTTTGACAGGTCGTGTACGTTTAAACAGCATCAGTCAAAACTTTGGACACATTCAGCATTCATTCAATGTTTTGTTTCTTTATTTCTTACTACTTTCTACATTTAGATACATACAGAAGACATCAGGTATATAACATGCAAGATATATGGAATTATTTAGTAAAGAAAAAGTGTATTAATAATATATATTAATATTTTTCAACAAATCAAAAGTGTGGCTAATTTGAGGATTTGGTTATAAAATACTGAAACAATATTTAGTAGAGTTATTGAACTTTTTTTCCTTTGCTACATAATTCTGTACTTCATGCATCATATATTTGATCTCTTCTGTATGTACATCACATGTAGAAAGTAGAAAACATACAGAAAAAGCACTGAATGAGAGGGCGAGTCCAAACTTTTGACTGGTAGTGTACATCATATGGATTCAGATCAATCACAGTTCATTCTCTCTCAATCCTCTACGCAGCTGGAGGTGCAGGCGCCCCCCTGGGAACACAGTGGGATATATTACGCAGCAGTGGCATCCTCTCTCGCCCAAATTCACAGTGGAGAATGAGCTTAAAGAGCCTGTACTGAGGATTCATGGGCCTTTCTGTGGATGGAGCTGCCTTCCAGATGTTGACTTTGAGGTGAGTTTACCTAAGAACACTACGACCTGGTGCAGAAACCCTCTGGCCCTCTGGACATGTAGAGCAGAAAATATGTTTCCAATCATCAGGGCAGGGCAGGGCTCGGACACAGGCTCACAGGGCGGGCTCTTGTACGGGACAGTGTGGCCATTGTTTCATGGCTCAGCTGCTTTTATTAGATGGAGCTGTGAAGGCGATGTGGGTCAGTGATGCAGACCTTTGACCACACTTACAGAAACTCCTGCATCAGATTTATTCACTGCTTACAAGCCATTTGCACACATAGCAAACAAATATATTTCAAGGTGTGGAAATATTTGGACAGTAACACAACATTACTGCCGATTAATATTACTCATAATATTTGCTGTCCATATAATTCCAGATACTGTTTTTACAGTAAAGTTAACAGCTAAAATGTTTGTTTATTTCTCCAGATCATAACAATGGATGAGACTAGTAAGATCGGAAAAATAAGCAAACAGTGGTCGGGACTTCTTCGAGAGGCGTTTACGGATTCAGACAACTTTGGCATTCAGTTTCCCATGGACCTGGACGTCAGGATGAAAGCTGTGATGATCGGTGCCTGTTTTCTCATTGTAAGTAGCACATGACTAAACCTGCTACAGCCTTATGCCACACTAGACAGCACTGAGCTATTTCTGACAAAGGGTGCCTTACAACTCATGTAAAATAGATATTTCCTCCTTCATATATTGCCTTAGTTGGCAAACATATTATTAGTCTATTGATACAGCTAACAGCCAAACTGTCAGAAATGCTGACTGACTTGTGAATATAATTTGCATTGCTCCAAATATTGTAAAATATCTTTTTCGTTTCAGGATTTCATGTTCTTTGAATCAACCAACTAATGGGCCAATGTGAAATAATACGGACATTTCTGGAAGAAGGCCACAAAGCCATTTTAATCATCACTTTCATAGAACAATCTTCAGAGCGATAGAATTCATTAAATAGGTACCTCAATGTTTCTCTTGTGCATGAACAGTGAAGTAGGAGGTGTTAGTCATGGCTGCTCAGGTTGGTTGCTGGTTGAACATGTGTTCATCTGTGCTCTGGGCAGTGTGCAGAAGTGTGTTCTAGATAAAGGAAGTGTGTGTTTACAAAATGGCTGCTGGGCCTATTAATGACAACACTTGAATAGCATATACGTGTTATGGGGGTAAGATTTGTGTTTTGAAGCAGGTTTGAATGCCAATAAGTCCGCCGATAAGCACGAGTCTAAGATTTGTTAGATTCAGTACAATTAGTATAAGCCACTGTTTGCTTGTAGCTTTATTGTGTTGACACTGAATGACACAGGTAATGTAATAGTAGTTGACTTGAGTCCTTTTAACATTGAACAATGTGTGCACTATATGTGTTGTGAGCTCTGAATGTACTGTGTGTACTGAAGCATAGTATATAATAAGATACCTTGTGGTATTTTCAATGCCATATGTACATGTTGCCAACACTGCTGAGGTTGTTTTTCAGTTTTTGGCCAGACTTGTGTGACTGAACTGAATTTTGTTCCGATGGAGTCCACAAGAGGGAGCTAGATTTTCAGCAAAAATAATCTCAGCCTATATGAAATAACTCCTCATTTGCTAATGCCATAGGTTTTTATTCAGATGTTGTATATTTTTGGACAAACTCAGGTTGAAATGCATGTTATTGTAGTGCTACTGCGGGCTGCTGTTGGCAATGAGAATTAACAAATAGACTAAAGGAAAAACTAATATTTCAGTATTATTTTGTACATTACCTTCTTTTTTAATTAGATAATTATTTGCCATTTATGTTTAAATATACATCTGCAAAGTACTGCAGCCTGCTCCACTTTGATTACACATGGTGATGTAGCTGATACATTGTCCATCATTATCACATCTATAGGAGCTGATGTGTTTCCCATCATTCTTACAGTATTTGATCTCTAACTCTGTTTTCACTTGTTTTTGGTTTTTGTATATACACTGCCAGTGGAGTGTTCTGTGATTGCTTCCATGTATTTCCACTGTTTTGTAAAGTCATATTAATAGATTAATTGAGCAGCTGAGTTTACAAGTTTGAGTATAATTCAAGATTAGTGGTTTTGCTGTAATGTCATTGTTTAGGTAGATAGGTGGGTATGGCCATCTTATTTTACATTTAAATGAACTTTAGCCATTAGATTGAGATTGCTGCCTGAAGTGTTTCAAGTGCCAAGCAGAATGATCAGCAATATTCAACAGTATATGTACTAAGTATTGACTTGAAGCTGTAGACAGCATATGAACACAGTAGATTTTCTGATCTGTTTTGGCACTGTTGTATGAGATGCTGGTGCTACATCTCGTGAAGGCTCTGATTGTGTAAAAACCAAAATGTGGGTTTTTAAAAATAAAACGGGATCTTTAGCTACAACAGTGTTTAGCTATTCTCCTATGTTACTTATTTTAAATAGATTACCTATTCTTCTACTTTTGCACTAAAACTGTGAACTAAGTGTTTTGTCATGCAATGGATGCAAACACATTTTGTGTGCAAAGCTAACGTTGTGTCATGATATTGATAACACAATAAAAATGTTGACCAGAATTGTTTTTTCGGGTTTATTTCTTGCTCAGATTTCATTTACTTTTTAAAAAAAATCACCAAATCATTTATCCACCAACTTGAATGCTTTGAATATAAAATTATAAGTCTTGATTATCGAAATGGTAACCTGCTTTTCTGGCCTGTTTCTTTACAAAAGAAACATTTCTTGCAGTTAAAATGGCTGCATCCATTATGTCAAATCCAGCAGTCCTTGAGCAGGCGAATATGAAAGAAGAAAAAGAACATGTTTTGCAAAGGAGTAATTAACCTGAACACACTCAGCTTGGCTATGAGCTAAAGAGACAGAAAAATCCTGCTGCTTATAATGAACATTTTGTACACTAGAGAGTTTTAGTGAATACAAAAAAGTTTTTAAATTGTAATTGGTCTGCCAATGTTTGAGGAGGTTTTAAGTGACTGGCTGGGCATTGCACCATTCCTAGAAATAAAGTAAGCAACAAGTATTAAGACATAAAACCCTGACAACAGAAAGCTTAAGATAACATATTCATCACGTCTGTATTTACTATTTGTTTTGGAAAAAAAGAACCGTGTACTGCGAGTATTCGTAGAAAAAGTGCAACAATGCCTGCTACTACTGTTCATATGTCTTCAATAATGACCACACTGTACTCTACTGTCTCCTACTAATATACTGTACTAAGTTTAGCAATGCAAGATACAACTAATGCCTTTGTGTAGTTTTATTGCTTATGACTTTACATTATGGAACACACAAATATGCGAAATGTCTCTTTTGTATACTTTTTTGAAGATTGTGTAGGTTTTAGTGAAACTTTTAAGTTATATTATTATATTTTCTGATGTCATTATTCGTTGGGATCAAACCAAAATAGAATTCTAAGGGGACGATACGGCTTATTTAACTCTTATTCTGCTATTCAGTGACTTTGTAACCTTAAGTCACCTCTTTGAAAATAAGCTCCTTGTTTACTCCACATTCCTGCAGAGAGCGGTGGAGAGTTCTGGAGAACGATGGACTCCACACCACACACGGGTGATGTCACTGGGACATTAGGAGCTGATTTGTAGGGTGAGAGCTCCCAGTCCAGCCAAACACAGATGTTTCCCTCAGCCTGTGGTGTCCTTACATTTACAGGCCCACCTTATAATTAAATATACATAGAAGTTAGCAGGGAGCAGACTGTGTGGTCACTTAGGGAGAGGGGACGGAAGCAAGCAACAAAACAAACACGTCAACATGGTAAAGGCGCAGTAAAGATGTGGCACTGGAGTTTGTTGACAGTTGTGATAAACGGCTGTAAGTTCAAGGCTTGAGGTTTGGGCAAAGAGAAGAGCAGGGATTTTATGAATAACAACAAAACTGAGGCCAACTGTTTCTTCAAATATAATGTCATCTGTTGTACAGCTAATAATGCCAGAAACTGAAAACTCACAAGACTATTCCAGAGACGCAAGAGACCTCCTAAAGTTTGGCAAAAGTACTTCTATTACTCATACTACACTTACTACCAGTACTACTACTACTTCTACTAGTACTACTACACCTACCACTAAGCTTCTACTGTACCTTCTATTACTACCATTATATACTACTACTACACCTACTACTATACCTACTACTGCTAACTACTACTAACTATTACTACTACACCTACTACTATACCTACTACTGCTAACTACTACTAACTACTACTACTACTACTACTACTACTACACCTACTACTATACCTACTACTGCTAACTGCTACTACTACACCTAGTACTACTACTAGACCTACTATTACTACTACACCTAGTACACATAGACCTACTACTGCTAACTACTAGTACTACTACAACTACTACAACTACTACTACTAGACTACTACTACTGCTACTACTGCTACTACACCTACTACTACTACACCTACTACTACTACAACAACACTTACCCCTAAACACCTACTACTACTACACCTACTACTACTAATTACTACTACTACTACTACACCCAGTACACCTACTCCTGCTAACTACTAGTACTACTACAAATACTAACTACTAGTACTACTAGACCTACTACTACTACTACTGCTACTACTACACCTTCTAGTACTGCTACTACTACTACACCCACTACTACTAATGACTACTACTACTACACCTAGTACACCTACACCTACTAGTACTACTACAAATAATAACTACTACTACTACTACTACTACTACTACTACTACTACTACTACTACTACTACTACTACTACTCTACACCTATTACTACTACTAGACCTACTACTACTACTACTAGACCTACTACTACTACAACTACTACTAGGACACCTACTGCTACTACAACACCTACTACTACTTCACTTACTACACCTACTACTAATGACTACTTCTACTACTACAACTACACCTTCTAGTACTACTACTACTACTACAACTACACCTTCTACTACTACTACTACTACAACACCTACTACTACACCCACTACTACTAATGACTACTACTTATGACTACTACTACTATACTACTACTACTACTACTACTACTACTACTTCTTATGCCACTATTGTGCTACTTAGCGTCAATAACAAGATTTTCCACATGTGCATTTGATAGAAAGCCACTTGCCTAAATGCAGCTTTATATGGGCCAAACAAGATTAAGGTAGCTTTTCTCTAACTGCTCTGTTTTAGAGATCACAGCCAATTAGTAAACCACACTCTAAATGTCTTTGGCCTATATACTTCAACATTTCCCAGGAACTATGACTCCTTCTACTTCTAACTCCCTGGTGTTTAGATGATCTGTGCATGGACCCATACTGTAAGGATAAGAGGAATGTTCTCGGGAAACACTGACATAAACAAGCGCTGAAACAACATCTGTGCAAACGCAACTGAAGAAAGTGACAGTGAGGCAGATGTGAGATAGGCTATCAAACACAGGGGGCCTATTTACACTGGGCTCTTTCCTGTGAGAAGTGTACACGACTGACTGTGTTCAGAATGAGGAGACTTTGTTTCAGTACATGAAATACAGTCTACAGGCTGAAGTTCATGGAGAAGCAGGAAGCAGCGAGAGCCAACCCTATAACCATTTCAAAGCACCTTTAGAAACAGATACTACTCAAAAATTCTACTGTTACTAGTACTACTGTTACTACTACATCTCTTGCACCCTTCAATTGGAAAATAAGGACTTGCTTTGAGTTTCCATTGAGAGGAGCAGCAGGTACAAGCACAAAACAGTTATAGTCTTATTGATACTTTGCAGCTGACGTCATCAACATTCCCTGGGGAGGGGCTGCTGTAGGCACTGCTCTGTCTGAGGCTTTGTTAGTCTTTGTTAGTCTAACACCCCATTTTTGTTAAAAACAAACAAACAAAAAACAAATGTTGGTAATCACAAGCTCCTGAAAATGTGTTGTTTAAATCACCATGGTAACTGCTAAACATTCTGCCATAGACATACATGTACGCACCCAGCGAGATATCACTGCAAAGTAGTTGTTGAGTCTGCAAAATTCTATACAATTAAAATAAATACTGCTTTTGTAATTACATAATAATACAGTAAAAAAGGTGGCAGCCCCAAGGGAAAGAAAGAAAGTGTCTAAAC